ATATTTCTTAACGACAGAATACGTTTTGTTGATAAACACTACAAAATAGAAACCGATTGTCGTCATTGAATCGTCTGAATGGAGTGATAGCCGSTTGACCAATCAGATTGCCAGGTTTTCGCGCGATCGATGATTCATTCGTGTATTTGATATGCATTCATAGTAGTTTTACGGCTGGTGACCAGAGAAACACAGCAAGAACCTGAAAGATTACAAGTCGATCTTGGAAATCATGACCAGAAACTCGGGAATAAGTGAACAAGAATGTTTTTCTTATGGAATCCGTACTCCTGAAGTACAATTTGTTCCTAATCCAAGCACAAGATCCAACCATCGTCTTCTTACGCCCTCTACATTGTTTGACCACGATGATCAGACCACGAACTTGAATCACGAYTATGAAGATCCCTCGCGTCTTGCCCAACAAAATTTGACTAGTAATTCACGAGGACCAAGAAAAAAGGCTAATGATTTATACGAGTCTATGTCAGTACCTTTAAAGTCGTTGAACGCAAAACATCGCGTACGGACTCTCTCTCGTTCCTCTGATGAAGACTCGACYACTACCGGTTACACGTATCATGGTCGAGAGCCTAAATTTCATCGTATAATACTATACCTAGTGCTACTACTGTCTTTAACTGCTACTWCATTAGTAATTCTTATGATATTGGGGATTGTTGGACCGTCATGTCACTGTGGAAGCARTCAAACARCAGCTTATACCACTAGTCAAGGTAAAAACTACAACATTCACCACGAGGGGCCGGCTATCGAGCGYTGATCCACCCWTTCATAGTTCTTTGTTTTTACTTTGTTTTTATAGCGATTTTCGAGTCTCAACATCRTTCGTATTTGTTAAATGGATTGAAATTGTCTTTTTGGTGGATTCGTTGTGATCAAAACATGAAGGAGTCGACATGAATAATTCTTGTTCTAGTTCCTTCTCTCGATTAAATATTCACATTCTATAAAAGGCAGCGCCAGCTTCCCTCAGGAGGCGCGTCTGGGGGTGTGTAAACGATTTTTACCACTAGTTATTTTAGAGTACATTTTTTTAAATCGATAAGAAAATAATCATTTATAGTAAAACTTAGTGATTTTTTATTACTCAATGTAATTTTAATGAAATCTGAGACGCCTTTGTGAAAAAACATTACTTTCAAACAGGAAGTTTTCATGATAATATGATCACGCCCATATTGAATTCAAACAAAAAATCGATGTATACGGAATTCAATTTAAATGCTTTCAATTTTGATAAAAGAAATCCTAGGTATTTSATGAATGTCAAAGGTTGAATGAAATGTAAATTTGCTCCATTAAGGACCCAGTATGGTCAAGCATGACAATTATTTTGATAGGATGTTTTTTACATTGGTTATTTTCATGTATCTTTTGCGGTAGGAAATAGACAGATAAAAAGTAGTGAGTGGATAAGGTAAAATTGAGAAAACCATAGATTCAGAGCTTGCTAATGACTATTAAACTCACTAACCTTTCATGGYAAATTGAAAAGTTTGTTTGCTATTGTTCCATGAAAATCTTTATATTAACCTCTCTACAAAGCTATAAAAAAAACACTTTAAAAACAATAATGTTTCTTTACTTTAGGAAAAACATCACAACAGTTTTCGTTATCMGTGAATCCTATCAAGAAAACTATAGCAGAGTTGCAGGCCAATCTAACTGAGCTGGAAGCTCTACTGGTAGGTTTAAATAATAATAATAATAATGATATTATATTATGAAGGATATTATTAACAATGATTTCTTGATAACAGCTCCCTAATAATGTTAGTGCTTCTTCTTTTTAGAATAAGACCAAAGCACAAGCAAACGTACAAACCAATGGATCAATATCTATWCTTGATGTGAAGRMAAACTTTGATCAAAAGGTARCCATTGAAAGCAATAATAAAATTGTGATTTAGCTTACAGCAATAAATGTGCATTGACAAGGAAATASCAAAAAGCCCCCATTATTTGAACATAGATTATATATATGTTGATTTATGAAGCTAAAAAATGTCAGACAGCTGAAAACTGTGTGATGCTCTTTTCAGATTGAAAGATGCAATATRGATTAATTGATTTAATTAGTTTTTGTATTAAGGTTTTGCTCAAATTTCATCAGTTAATATTACTTAATCATAATTATAATGGTTTCATATTTGTCAATCATATTTTGTTTACTACGTTAAATCAGTTTTTAGGCAAYGTTTGGTGAATTCCAATGTTAAGGTTTAAAGACCATTTTTAATATAGTGCACTTTTTAAACAGGTCCAACATTAGCAACTATGTTTTTGTATTTTTGTACTGTTCCTAGCCTGTGGCATTGTACTAATGATCAGTTTAAGCTAAAAAAAAATTAAGCAAATTGAAAGTCTGTACTTTTTCCTGTAGCTTAATGCAACAAAAGATCAACTTCAAGCAGCTGATGGCAGAATCAAAGGAGAAGTTAAAGCACTGAATATTTCTCTTATTAATAAGGTAAGAGTTTTGTAATAGGATTTTTAATTAGGATTTTTGTAATAATTGTCTTGATTTTTTATAAACTAAACAAAGCATGACAATAAAGGAGGATTATCAACTATCATGACTTGAAAGGTGAATCATTAATTTATTATTTTTTTATGTAGATTCAAGGAATCAGTGCCATTGAAGGMAAACAAGGTCCACCAGGATTAAATGGTTCACGCGGTGAACCAGGCCCTCAGGGTGTACAGGGACCCCCYGGACTAGGAAACTTCAGTCAGTGTCGGCATTCAGTTGAAAGTCAAACCACTCATGATCAGTCAGTTATAAGTATCACTGTCAATAAACTCCAGCCAAATGTAAGTTTAAAATTATTATTTTGTGATATATATTATATCCCTTCACCACCATTTATAAATAGTCTTTTTACTTTCATTTAGGATAAGAAATATATCTATTTACATAAACTAAAGAAATAGAACTTTTATACTTTAGTGAACTAGAAATACTAACAATACAAAAGAAAAAATCTCTCAGGCTGAACACTTTTCTTTGTCTGTTTCACATTAAATCTCAAACGTTCTCTTTCTTTCTTTTCTTGTTTTCTCCATTTAACCAGTCCTCCCACATTAATTAATTATTTATATAAGCTATTTGGACTTTTCAGGGTTATATCATACTCAGTGCTTTCTGTTCAACGGTTGGTACTAARGAACACAAGCTGGAAATCTTTGTACCCAAAGATGGCAATCCTAACTTTGTGTGCACGTGTAAAGGAAAATCAACATTATTTCCTACACCGAACTCCAAGTATTCATGCAATCTGAATTACTTTATATGTCCAAARACAACTTAAAATGGTATTGATATTGTGGTTCAGAATATTTAGGTAGATTTACTATGATAATTAATAATTAGRTATCTGTATATAATAKTAWTAATAATAACAATGATTTCACTGTKMGTACTGTGATTATGTCASAATGAAGTGAACAATTTTATGTAGAAAATTCTTAAATTAGATATTTGTAAATACCTAGAAAGTTTCATAGAAAAATGATTGGCTCATAAATATATATCCTTCATCTAGTTGTTTCTTCACAAGTTTTTTTAGAATAGAAATTGCAAATATTTAGGATACCTTTTTTATAATAATTTTAACTGAAATTGAAGCTTAATGATTCCATGTTAAAAAAAGTTGACTAGACATTGATATCAAATCTTGGTAGAGGTACATATGTCCATATAGAACAATTGTATATTATGTCTTAGAAGTATAATGTGGGTTTCTTTACAAATTTATTTTTCATCATTTCTTATATATGTTTTATAAGGCATTTTTTCATTCAATTTAATKATGTTATTTATTTGTCAAGCTACATGTATTTATGCTAGTTGATCTAGCAAATTCATTATTTTAAGTTGTAGTTCATTTTCAAATGTGTATAATAATATAGTATTAAATATAGAGTTTTTACCAAGAAGCCAAGGACAAATTAAGCTTCAAATCAGTTTTCATGTCAAACAAGTATGAATTGTTTGTCCAGACTGTGGATCATACAAGACAGGCCAAGTTGGATGTTATTATAGTTTTGATATTTCTTAAAAAGCATATAAAGAAAATAATCTTTGATTAAAACGTAGTGGCGACAATGTGAAGTGTAGCACAATAGCTGACATTAGATTGCAATCTGAAAACATTTGTCGTCAATACATTGAGACTTGACGTATAATCTTTAGCCAATCAGAAACAAGTATATATTCTGAATAAAAGTAAAATATAGCCATGTACAGGGGGAGGGGGGGTCGTGGAAAAGATCACAGGCTATTACGTAAAATATAAAGGATATAGTGCACAGAATTATTTGCTGAGCAAATATAGTATTATCATTATAGATAATCACAAGGAAAGTTGAAAATATGAGCATTTGTAATGTACAGAAGTGTTGATATAATTAGAATAAATATAAAAATACATGACTTGATTGTTGTCTTAACACACGTCTGAAAACATTCTCGGATCAGAGGCACTACCGTCAATCGGTGCTCAGGCKACGCGATAATGAATTTTCCAGAAACAGCGGGAAAGAGTGACTGCGTGTACATTGTTGTGGCTGGCGAAAAAACTGCCTGAAGCAACAAGAAAAATAGCAAACAAGATCACAAAAGCTGCTACTGTTCTGGATGCAAAATCTATATTCTACTCCTCCCCCGCACGATAATAATATCGACGTTATCAAAAMTTTTGCGTTTTCAAAAATATCCATATTTGGCCTGTGTTCGATCGTTATAGAGGAAACTCTGCGGAAAAAACCTCCAGGACAAAAAATAATTGTCTGTCCTAATACAGACCATAACAGGGACGGCGCGGCGCTGGGGGCTGATATAATGAGATTAGAAAAAAGTTGTACTTTGGATTTAATGGTATAGACACTTTATACACCTTTGACAACTTTTTCTTTAAAAAAAAACGTCTGCCCCGTCTTCGCCACCCCTGCTTTATAGTAGTTCGAATAAGAAGTGTTTCTACATCAGTGATRATCCCAAAATAAACTACGAAAACGCGTAAATGAGAACGAGGCCGAAACCACTGGAAGTATTCAAATGATGTAAGCACCACTAAAATCCACGTTCCACTAGACAAAACCACTCAACTGTTAAAATAACAACATCATAAGAACATCAAGTTTCTAGCAAAYAATTCAAAGTTTAACATCAAACTGGAAACATGAGCACGTTTGGACATAACGGCGTTATCAAAAACCCAACTTTCGAACACAGCCAGGATCCTGCTCACATAGCGGCTGGTAAGGTGTTGGAGGAGAACGGAGTAAGAACAAGTGAACAGGTTACCGATGGTGGCTTGAAACCTAGAACAAGAATCCCACTGTGGTTGAAATTGATAGTATTTTTGATGTTCCTTATTGCTGTTATTGCATTGGTGTTTACATTGCTGATGTACTCGGGCAAGATAGCTCCTCAAACCAGTAATCCAACTGAGCTCTTGAACTCTAAAGGTAAGAASMWCMT